AAATTTATGCAGTCTCTTCAACAATTCAATGACATATAAGGGTGAGGGTTGGGAGTGTTTGCCTTTGAAAAAATCATTAAGAGACACAATAATCACATGCAGTGTATAAACCTTGTTCTTGATTCAAAACAGAAACACAGTAGAAAGACATTTTTGAGACAATCAGGGATATTTGGTTAAGGACTAGATAGTAGATGATATTAAGGAATTATTAAGGAATTTTGTTATATATGATAATGGCATTGTGGTTATGAAGAAAACGTTTGTAATTTTTTTTTTTCTTTATTGAGACAGGGCCCTCACTCTGTCACCCAGGCTGGCATGCAGGGCACTTTCTTGGTTCACTGCAACCTCTGCCTCCTGGGCTCAAATGAACCTCCTGTCTCAGCCTCCCGAGTAGTTGAGACTACAGATGCCCGGCTAATTTTTTGTAAAGATGGGCTTACCCTGTTGCCCAGGCTGACCTCAAGTGATCAAGCGCTGGGATTACAGGCGCGGCCACCGTGCCCGGCACCTCCTCCCCTTAACAAACATTAACTGAGAGCCCTTCGTGTACCAGACTCTGCTCAGGGTACACAGCTGGGAGCACCACAAAGCCCCATCCTCCTGGAGCTTGCTCCGGGGGAGACACGCATGAAAGCCGGGTGTGAAATGCAGCACCCTGGATTGAACATCAGAGACGGAGCCCACAGGAGTCGTGCGTTTCCTGCGGGGGCTGTAACGGATTACCATAGACATAAGGGCTTCAAACATGAATGTCTGATCTGATAGCTTTGCAGTCAGACGCCTGACAGGGCTCTCTGGCCTAAAATCGGCGTTGGCAGGGCTATGTTCCCTTCTGGAGGCTCTAGGGGAGCATGGGCTTCCTCACCTTTTCCGGTTTCTAGAGGCCACCCGGCATCCTTGGCTTGTGGCCCCTTCCTCCTGCACATCACGTCTCTGACTCTCCTCTGCGGCCACATCTCCCTCTTCTCTCCTCTGCCTTCCTCTTCCGCTTTTAAGGACCCTCATGATGACATTGGGCCCACCTGGATAATCCCGGAGCACCTCTTTAAGATCAGCTGTAGCAACCTTAATTCCCCCCTGCCATGTAACTTAGCACATTCATAGGTTCTGGCGATGAGGACTTGGATCTCTTCAGGGTCCTATTCTGCCGACCACAGATGGGAAAGCCGATGGAGATGGACAGAGAAGGGAAGAGGCAGAAAAAAGGCTCGGAGAGAGGCAGAGGACCAGGCTGAGAGGAGAGAGGAGGTGGCTGGGAAAGGAGACAGTGTCCTGGGTGTGCTTGGGGACTTTTCGGGGGATTCTATCTGCCAGCTGAGACTTTCCAGGGACGTTATTCCAGGAAAGCCTGGGCAGCTGTGAAACCTCAGATGACGCCAGAGGACTGTTCGGGGTTGAGCCAATAGGCAATTGTTGGAGAGGGAGGGAAGGAGGGCAGCTCTCAGCAAGTCCATCTTGGCGGCGTTTCCTGAGTTCCAAGGCTATTCCGGGCTCCATCTCTGGGATGGAGTTCCCTGGCCTGCATCAGGACGGCGTTTGCCAGTGTCCCAGGGAGTGTGGGTCTATCCTCTTGGTGGCAGGAGGGAGGCTTTAATCAAATTCTCAAAGGGTCCTGGGACCGAGAAAAGTTAACTCCTATCCTGAGTGTTATAAAAAGAAGTGCTTGGAATGTAAAATGCTGCAGTCACTGTGGAAGACAGTTTGGCAGTTCCTCAAAATACAGTTACCATGTGATCCAGCAACTCCATTCCCAGGCGCATGCCCAGGAGAACAGAAGACATCCGTCCACACAAAAACTTATCCACAGATGTTTGTAGCAGCATTGCTCATAATAGCCAAAAAGTGGAAACAACCCAAATGTCAGTCTCCTGATGGGCTGATAAACAAAATGTAGTCTGTCCATGCAATGGAATCTTATTCAGGGATTAAAAAGAATGAAGTTCTGAGACAGGCTACAACGTGGATGAAACTTAAAGACATTACGCTGAGTGAAAGAAGCCAGACACGAAAGGACAAATATCTATGTTTCCACTGTCTATGAGGTACCCAGAGTAGTCACATTCATAGAAACAGAAAGTAGAATGGTGATTGGCAGGGACTGAGAGAGGGCAGATGGGGAGTGAATGTTAGTGAGTACTAAGTTTCTTTTTGGGATGATGAAATGTTTTAAAATAGATTGTGGTAATGGCTGTGCAACTCTGAAAATATACGGAAAGCCACTGAATTCCTTAAATGGGTGATGGGTGAAATTTCTGCTATGTAAATTATATCTCAGTAAAGCTGTTCCTAGAAAAAAGAGGAAGTGGGCCAGGCACAGTGGCTCACGCCTATAATCCCAGCACTTTGGGAGGCTGAAGTGGGAAGACGGCTTGAGTCTGGGAGTTCAAGACCAGCCTGGGCAACATAGTGAGACCCTATCTCTACATACCTACCCAAAATTTTTAAAATAGCCCAGCATGGTAACACACACCTGCAGTCCCAGCTACTCGGAAGGCTGAGGTGGGAGAATCACTTGAGCCCAGGAGGTGGAGATTGCAGTGAGCTGTGATCTTGCCACTGCACTCCAGCTTGGGCAACAGAGTGAGACCCTGTCTCAAAAAATAGATTTATCTCTTCTAAAAAAAGAGGAGGTGTTTGGCCCTTAGCACCACATTTTGCTTTGTCCTTGCAACTGTGAAAGGCAGGTCTTGCTTCTCCCCTCTTACAGGTGAGCAGATGGCAGAGAGGCGAAGGGTCACTAGGCTAAGACAGAATGGCTGTTTAGTGACATCCTTGGACCAGGTCTCCTGTATGGGTCATTCTTTGTCCTGCGAGCCATGCTGGAGTGCGGATTTGGAGGTGACAGGCAAGTGGCACAGTCAGTGATGCATCTTCTCAGTAGCTGTTAGAGAGTGGGCAGTTCTGACAGCAGCAGGGGAAGCTGGCCGGGAAGATGGGATGTCTGAGTCATCTCGGGCTGCCACAACACCAGACACTAGATGGCTTAAACAATAGGACTTTATTTCTCACAGTTCTGGAGCCTGGAAAGTCCAAGCTGAAGGTGCCCGCCAATCCCATTCCCGGCGAGGGCCCCTCCCTGGCTTGCAGAGGCCTGCGTTCCTGTGGAGTCACCACATGCCTTTCCTTGGTATGTGCACATGGAGAGATCTCTCCTTCTCTTATAAGGTCACAGAACAGGCTGGGCGCGGTGGCTCACACCTGTAATCCCAGCACTTTGGGAGGCCCAGGTGGGCGGATCACCTGAGGTCAGGAGTTTAAGACCAGTCTGGCCAACATGGAGAAACTCCGTCTCTACTAAAAATACAAAACATTAGCCAGGCACAGTGGCAGGCACCTGTAATCCCAGCTACTCAGGGGCATCACTTGAACCCAGAGGCGGAGGTTACAGTGAGCCGAGATCGCGCCACTGTACTCCAGCCTAGGCGACAGTGTGAGACTCTGTCTCAAAAAAGAAAGAAAGAAAAGAGAAAGAAAAAAAAGAGGCCGGGCGCGGTGGCTCAAGCCTGTAATCCCAGCACTTTGGGAGGCCGAGACAGGCGGATCACGAGGTCAGGAGATCGAGACCATCCTGGCTAACACGGTGAAACCCCGTCTCTACTAAAAAATACAAAAAAACTAGCTGGGCGTGGTGGCGGGCGCCTGTAGTCCCAGCTACTCAGGAGGCTGAGGCAGGAGAATGGCCTGAATCCAGGAGGCGGAGCTTGCAGTGAGCTGAGATCCAGCCACTGCACTCCAGCCTGGGCGACAGAGCAAGACTCCGTCTCAAAAAAAAAAAAAAAAAAAGAAAGGTAAATTTGCCTACGCAAGGACACGCAGCTCCTAGGTGATTTGTTCCACATCTGACCCCAGGGCCTATGCGCCTTTCCCTACCCAGGCCACCGCCATGACTTAGGAGGCCCCTCTGGGGAAGCAGCAGGAACCCTTATAGGAGGCTCCGGGACAGAGAGATGTAGGGCTGGGATGAGGAGGCTCCAGGGGGAGGCTGCTCGCTCTCCTGTCCCACAGAGGTCTCTGCTAGGGGCAGCCCCCTCCTGGGACACAGACACCAAGGACTGCTGTCTGGGAGGAGGAGGCTGAGTTGGGAGGGACAATGGCCTGAGTTGATTCTGCAGCCTATGAGCAAGGTGGGACAAGCCAGAGAGACAGCGAGCAAGTGGGGGCGAAGACTGAGGGTGAGAGCTTGTGCTGAAGAGGCAAGGGGCAGCCTCAAGTGGGCAGGGCAAGGCCAGATGGCGAGGCTGATGGGAGCGGGCAAGGGGACTGGGATTCAGGGGGTGACTGAGTTGGGGGCCAGACAGGCTGGAGCTCCTTGGGTTGGAAGCTGGGTGATGGGGCCTCATTCTCTGCCACATGAAACTCCCCCAGCCCAGCCTTTCTCCTTGTCACCTCTCACAGATACTCCCATACATCCCTGGTACCCCTGTCATCTTTCCTAAGCTATGCTCTTTTTCAGGAGGGTGGTGTTTAGGGGAGGGCATCCTGCAGAAACAGCAAGTCTTCAAGTCAGCTCTTGCCTGAGTCCCAGGCTCCTTTGGTGGAAGGGTAGTCCCTCTTTTTGCATGTTTTAGGTGGTCAGCCTGGCAAGGGGCAGGAGGCCTGGGTTTCTTTCTTCTCTTTAGGATGGGGCTGGTCCTCCACCTCCCGCTGGTTGGCAGCCTCCCGGCCCCTGGCGGCCCCAATCCATTGTCCCAATCAGAATAGAGAGAACAGCTTTGGAAAATGACGCTATGAATGGTGCTGGGGCTGCTGGGGCTGGGACCGAACTAATGGGATGAGGTCCACCACTTCAGGCCTGGGCTCAGCACCTGGGACAGAGACTCTACTAGGAGGGTGGGAGCTTTGCACCCTTCCCCAGGACCCCCAAATCAGACTCCAAGCCACCCCTGTCCAGGACATGGATTCCCAGGGTTGGGCTTGGGGAACCAGATGCCCCAGCTCCTCCTAGAACTTCACTCTCATTCAGTCAAAGTTTGAGAGGGAGTAAGGGGTGGGTGATGGGCTGGGAGAGATTTCTGGAAGCTGAGAAAGGGGCGGGTTTGACCCCCCAACTTTGCCCTGCTCTCATTGGCCCTCCCCCCCTCCCCTTTCCCTGCCCCAATTGTCTCGGTGTCTGGGTCCTGGCCCTGGGAGGAGGGGACAGTGAGGATAGGAGTGGGGAGGGGGCTCAGGCTGAAAGCAGAGCCAGCTGCAGAAGCACGAAGAGAAGTACCGTAACCTTCAGCCTTGACCCCAGACCTTGGTGCCCCAGAACCTGGGCTCTCCAAAGCAAGACCAGGGCCCCCACACTGTGCGCCAGAGTGCGGGGTGGGGAATGCCCACAGCCCGAGGGCCCCCAGGCTGAAGGCAGGAGACTGGGGCTGCTGGGGAAGTCGTCCAGGCTGAGGGGCCAGGCCTGGCAGGGCCATGGCGCTGCTGCTGCTGCTGCTGCTCCCAGGCTGCGGTAAGAGGCTGGGCCATGAGGGCCATAGGGAAAACCAGGGCAGAGGGACGGGGAAGAAAAAGAGGCAGGCATAGGGGTGGGACAGTTGGGGGGAAAGGTTGGGGGAGCAGAGGGATGGAGGTGGCCGGAGTGGAGGTGGAGAAACCCTGAGGACAGCAGAGGAGAGGGGTGAGCCCTCAGGAGGGGCAGGCAGGGCTGCGGAAGAGCCATGGGGGACTCTAGGAGCCCAGGCTTTGGGGCACAGTGGCCAGAAGGGGACCTGGGGTCCACGTGAGGCAAGTGGCTGAGCAGACTGCGAGGCATACAGAGGCAGGGCCCCAGAGGCTTCCGCACAGATGTCCCTGAGCCAACTGAGGCTGGCTCAGCCCCCTGCCCATGCGCCCCTCGGAGGCTCTGTCTGCCCGCCCATCCACCCCATCTGCCGGGGGTCCTGGCTTAGCCTCACAGGCTGAGTTATTGTATTGATGGGGGTGTGTGGGAAGGGGGCTGTGTATGTGGGTTCACAGCTCTGCTCGTGCATTTCTGGGCCTGTGCCATTAGTGTCTGTGGCCCTGTGCTTATGTATTTGTGACTTTGAGTCTGTAGGGACATCTACGTGTTACCTGTGTTTGGGGCCTCCTTGAGTGTGTGTCTGGGATGGAATCTGTCTGTATCTAGAAGACCTGGTGGCCAGTGAGGTTGTGATTTTTAATCCAAGCGTGTGTGTGTCCGTGAATGAGTGTGTGTGAGTGTAAGTGTGTTCCTTCCCTATTCAGAGGCCAGGGTCCTGGTGGCGGGAGGGGGAAAGGGGAGAGCCAGGAGTCCTGGGAAGCTGACCCTGCAGGCAGACAGGCAGATGGGCCGGCAGGGGAGGGAGGGGGCAATCCCATTGTCCCCTGGGGATCACAATGCCCACGCCTCAGCCCCTGACCTCACCATTCTGCCCACCCCACCCCCTCCCCGTTGCCAGGGCCCCGCTGAAAGAGGCCATCAATCACAGCCGGCCTGCCAGGCCCACACCCCACCCGCCAGCCGGCCAGTGGCCCCCCGTGCTCCTCAGATGGCCGGGCCCTGCCCTCTCTTCCCTGTTTCTCTTTTGCTGCCCCAAAGTCTCCCTAAAGTCAAGTCCTGTCCCTTGCCCCTTGCCAAAGCTTGGAGGGAGTCAAAGCCGTAGGGGAGGTGGTGGTCAGAGGGTGGCTCACAGGGGACCGCCGTGTCCAGGCTGTGCTGGCTGTCCCTACAGGCCGTGCTGCAGGCTCCGAGCTGGCCTTTGTGCAGAGCCGGGGGACACAGCGGCTGTGCAGGAGCACCCACGGGTGCTGCCCTACCAGGTAGAGGGTGAGCCGCCCGTGTCCATTTCTTGGCAGCGGGATGGGCTGGCCTTAGCCAATGACAGCGGTGCCACCCTGATGCCAGAAGGTTCCCTGCACCTGGCTGCCCTGCCTTCCCGCTGGAGCCTCCTTTCCAATGCCCACGAGTACCACTGCGTGGCCCAGAACCGCTGCGGGCGGCTGGTGAGCCGACGGGCCCGGGTACAGCCGGCAAGTAAGTGACAGGGCTGCTCCTGGGATTGGGGGATGAAAGTGCATGGGGCACCCACAGAAGGCACCCATGGGGTCCAGAGTCGCTGAGAGTGGGCCTGAGCAGGGCCAGCCCAGCCATTAGACACAGTGTACACACTGGTAGAGCCTCTGATTCTTTTAGGGGCCCACAAAAATGTTTTAACTTCCTCAGAACAAGAAGAAAAAAATGAATATAATAATAAATATGCAAAAATGAGTCCAGAATGGATTACATTTGTCTATATTCCAATGCCATTGTAAACTATGATTTAAGATATTTGTAATGGAGGAAGGCAAAGTGCTTATAGCCCACAGAAGTCCTAGACATGAGGCCGCAGGGCTCCATACTGAAGAGGAAGTGGCAGATGTGGGCATAGGCGTGGGGCCTGGCCCTGGGACTTGGTTGTGGGGGGATAGCCCATCGCCAGCTCTTCAGGTGCCCAACCGCCTCCCCCCATCCTCTAGGTCTGTCCCGCTTCCACCAACATCCAGAATCGGTTGAGGTGGAGCGGGGTGGAGTTGCTCGTTTCCAGTGCCTGATCCAGGGGGTGCCTGAACCATCCATTTCCTGGGAGCACAAAGGCACAGCCCTGAATACTGCCAACCACCGGTGAGCACCTGCCAGCAGTGCAATGGGACGGCGGGCTGTGAGCCAGGGCACAGGCCATGGAGCCCTGACCTGTGCATCCTCAGGGTCACACTGCTGCCTCGTGGCATCCTCCACATCACCAGTGTGAGCCAGGCGGACGTGGGAACCTACCGCTGCGTGGCACGGAATATGGCCAGTACCTGCCACAGCCAGGATGCCCAGCTGACGCTGAGCGGTAAGCCAAGCCCAGTGTGGGCACTGGGCAGAGAGGAGGGTATGGTTGCTGTGGTTGTACATGGGACAGGCAGGCATTTTGAGCACTTATGACATGTTAAGCACTGTGCCAGGTGTGGGAGGGCAGCAGGCTTGAGCCATCCCTGGCTTCCTGGAGCTCACAACCTGAGAGAGAAGGTGGTTCTGTGGGAACCTAGGGTTAGGCTGTGGGCAAGGATTGTCAGGGGCTTCTGGAGTAAGCTACCCCAAGCTGGATGTTGAAGGGTGAGTGGAGAGAGGCAAGCCAAGGTCAGGAGGGCAGGGCGGGGCATTTCCTTGAACAAATGCACAAGGGAGAACAACAAAGTTCACACAGGCAGTTCTGTGTTGCTGGACCACAGAATGGGCAGAATTCAGGGTAGTAAAGTTAATGTTGGTGGGTAGGCAAGGCATGTCATGAAAATAGTTTGGACTTGATCCAGAGGGCAGTGGGAGCTCTGGAGGGTCTAGCGTTGGGGCTGAGTCAGCCTGTGTCTTGAACACATGGCCCTCATACACATGGCGTGTAGATGTGCATGTGTTTGTGTATGTGTCTGTGCTTGCATGTACATGTGCATGTGTGCATGGACATTTGCATGTCTCCTTGGGGTGAGGATGAAAATAGCTTTGTACCTGAGATGAAACACCCAGGGTGACCTCACTTGCAGGCCAAGTGGGGTGGGACAGTTTTGTGCCCAAAGTGAAGGCCACAGCAGAGCCTATGAGGGGCTGGTGCCTAGCGGGAGAGGCAGGTTAGACCCCGCCCAAACTGGAGATGCCACAGGTGTTTGTGAGGGACAGTCATGCCTGAATCGGCCACTAGGGGGCTCCAGGGTATAAATAAGCAAGTGTACCACCGGACACCACCGCCGTGCCTGGACGAACTTTCAAAACATCTCCGACAAAATTTCACCGAAGGCTGTATCTTTTTTTTTTTTTTTTCCTGAGACGGGGTCTCACTCCTTCGCCAGGCTGGAGTGCAGTGGCGCGATCTCGGCTCAGTGCAACCTCTGCCTCCCAGGTTCAAGCGATTCTCCTGCCTCAGCCTCCCGCATAGCTGGGACTACAGGCACCCGCCGCCGCGCCCGGCTAATTTTTGTACTTTTAGTAGAGACAGGGTTTCACCATGTTGGCCAGGATGGTCTCAATCTTTCGACCTAGTGATCCGCCCGCCTCAGCCTACCGAAGTGCTGGGATTACAGGCATGAGCCACCGTGCCCGGCTGGTATATAATTTTTAAACTGAAGACTGGCAGGGGAAGGGGGAACGGTTGTGTTTCTGATCTATAACTGACTTAGAAACTAGAAGCGAGGGTGGGGGTCAGCGGCTCTTCTGCAGGAGCAGAGAGGAGCCCGGTGGGGTCCCTCTGGCCTGTGGCTCCCGTTCCTATCCACAGTCTGGGGCAGGAGGGCAGGGCAGGAGGCTATGTCTTTCAAGGCTATCCGGCAAACACAGGATTCTGCTGCCCGTGGAGCAGGGAGACGAATGGCTGGAGAGTGACAGGAGGTTAGCAGGAGGAGCAGGTGTCTGTTGGGGGCAGAGGACCAACTAAAAACCGAAGGCTCAAGGGTTGCCTAAAGGAGCTGGTGTCAGAGTAGTCTTCCTCAGGGGCAGAAGCTGGGGACAAAGGCCCCAAGTCATTCACCCCTAACGCACTCAACTGCACACACCTGGGCAGGCACTTACCCTGGACATGCACCAGGGTGAGACAGAATTTCCCAGACTTCAAGGACACAGTGGCTAAAGAGGGGAAGCTCGTTGTCAGCTGTTCAGTGCTACCGAGATCCAGGGAGTCCCCCAGTTCTGCCAGTCCCTCTGTCATTGGGCAAGTTACTCAACCTCTCTGATCCTTGATCTTCTCATGTAAATGGGGGAAATAACAGTACTCAGCTCACAGGCTGTGGTAAGGGCAAAATGGGACAATGTGTGGGGCTCACAGCCAATGACTGGCATGGGGAAGGGGTCGGCCCGGGTGACCCAGCCTCTCCTCACTGAACTGTCTGGCCAGGCAGGACACAGCCTCTTTGCATGAGGCCAGGAGATTCCAGGGCAGCCTACAGCCTGTACTGCAGCTTGCAAGAGGCAAGTGGAGAAAGGCAGGGCCCAAAGTAGGCCTTCAATCTATAGTTGCTGAAAAAATGAATGAACAAAACACAATTCTACACCTTGAGGGATAAAGATGTGTAAGACTTTAGACCAGCCCTTGAGAGACTTTCATTTTAGAAACACATTTTATCTGAGACATTCTTAATAAAGGGCATTTATGAAAGGTTAAAGACACGTTAAGGCCTCACATGATACAAGGTAATAAAGAAAATGGGGATGATGGCCTACGGGAAAGCAGAGCTCTGTTTAACACGATGTTGTTCACAACCCTGCTCCCAGTTTGAGGGTGATGCCTGGCACATGGGAGCCCCCAGTGATGATCTGTTGAATAAACTTATGAAACGGGGGAGCATGGTATAAAATGAAGATGTGATTTAGACCCAAAACAAGAGTTACTTTCGGAAAACACTTACATCCCTCCTAAGCAGCTAAGCAGGCTGTCTTAGGAGGCTGGTCATGCTGAGAGAAGGCCTCCTACTAACTTTGTGGGTGCCTCTACCTGCCCCTCAGGGTGAGGCGCCCAGGGAAGGTGGGGCCACCCACAGGGTTTGTAGGAGAAGAATTGCTCACTGTCCTCTCTCTCCGCACCCCCAGTCTACCAGACCTTCGGCCTGATAGCTACTGCCATGGGACTTTGGGCAGGTCATTTTAAAAATCTGTTAAGTTGGAGATGGAATAGCAGCTGCAAAGCACACCTCTGAGGTCTGGTGACATTTGTGGACTGGAAGAGTGTGCTTGGAGTAGAACTTGAGTACTGGAAGGAGGTTCTCCTTTCCTGATCCGATTTGCTTGTTTCCACCACACAGTGGGACCCCCGAGGCTGCTGCAGGAGCCGGAGATCCTGTCTCGGCCTCAGAACCTGACCCTCACAGTGCACCAGAAGGCAGTGCTGGAGTGCATCGCCACGGGTCACCCTCGGCCGCTTGTCTCCTGGAGCCACCTGGGTGTGCAGCTGCCCCGCCCTGTCTCTCAGAGCCCCGTGCCCTTGTCCTATCCCAACTTGACCCCCCCAACGCCTTCTTGCAGATGGCCGCTCCATCGGCATGGAGGGCATCCAAGTTCTGGGCACCAGGAATCTCATGATCTCCGACGTGTCAGTCCAGCACTCAGGTGTCTATGTCTGCGCTGCCAATCGGCCGGGCACCCACGTCCAGCGCACAGCACAGGGCGTCCTGCTCGTGCAGGGTGAGCCCCAAGGGCCCGACCGGGTGGGGAGAGTGCTGGGGGACCCCAGCTCCCTGACAGGAGCCTGGATCTGGAGAGGGTCCAGGGCAGGAGGCAAGAGGCTGGGTCTCATGGCGTCTTCCTCTGTGCTATTGCCTGCCCAGCTCCCCCTGAGTTTGTCCAATGGCCACAGTCCTTGTCCAAGCCTCCGGGCAGCAGTGCCATCTTCACCTGCGTGGCCCAGGGCGTCCCTGAGCCCCATCTGGTCTGGCTGAAGAATGGGAAGGTGCTGAGTCCTGGGGATAACATCAGGCTGACCCACAACAATAGGTACTCGTGTCTTACCACTCCCCACTGGCCACTGGCAATGGTATGTCCCCCTACCCACCCTGGGCATCCACCTCCACCTACATGCAACACTCACTACCTAAATCTCAAAAATCCACACCCATCCACAAACCCCCAGCAAATTACCTTCTACTTCCAGCAATTCCCCCTTCCCCCAGGAGGCTCTGCCCTGACTTCATTACAGGTAATGCCCCCACACAGCCTCCTCCTCTAGGGCCGCTCTGCCAAGGCTTGGTGGGAAAGGGCTCCCAGCAGCTGAGTTTGTCTTTCTCTAGTACGCTGATGCTGGCAGGCATTTCAGCTGAGGATGAGGCCATCTATCAATGCATGGCAGAGAACAGTGCAGGCTCCAATCAGGCCAGTGCCCGCCTGGCTGTGAAAGGCGGCCCAGAGTCACCCCCCGTCCCGAGGGGCCTGCATGCCATGGCTCTCTCTACTTCTGCCATTCGAGTGTCCTGGGAGCCACCCCCCTCCGGCGGGGACATCATTGGCTATGTGCTGCACCTCCGGCCTGTGGGAGGTGGGTGTGGGTGGGTGGACAGGGCTTTGAGCTCAGAGCAGGGCCAGGAGCCAGGAGTCCCCAGCGCCAGCCCACCTCTGCTCCTGACTGCTGATGTCCTAGGCGAGTCCCTCTCACTCTCTGGGTCCCAGTCTCCTCCATGACCCCAGACCCTTCCGGATTCTTCCCAGGCCTCTGGGCCTGTGGTTCTCTGGACTGGCTGCCTCTGTACATGGTCTTTTGGTGCTTCCTTATTGCTTTTCAGCTTGACTCTAGGCCCTTTCCTCATCCTCATCCTTTCTCAGCTTAGCTCCAACTTCTGCAGCCTCTTTCCCTGCTCTCCTTGGAGGCTTGGCTGGTCCAGAGAGGCACCAGGAGGGGGCTTCGTCCCCAGTTTGTGAGGGTGCAAGGACATGACTACTGAGAAGATGCTGCTCTGCTCCTCAGAGCCATCTGGCCCGGAGCTCCAAGAGGCCGTGAGCAAAGGCACCTCTGAGCACGTCTTCTCCAACCTGGAGCCTGCCACAGCCTACACCATCCATTTGCGGGCCTACTCAGCAGAGGGTGCCAGTCAGGACTCTGCCCCTGTCTTTGCCTCCACCATGGGCAGCAGTGAGTGACAGCCTCTCCAGCCTTGGGAAGTCCCTGGCCTCAGGTGGGCAGGGACTGCCAACCAGTTTGCTTGTTTTCCTCTGTAGCCCCTGCTGCCCTGGGCTTCTCCACCAAAGTGCTCAGTGCCACCTCTGTGCAGGCCTCCTGGGAGCTGCCACCACAGCTGGGACCCATCC